GGAAACTAGACCTCACTTTTCTAGTTTCCAACAGACCTCACAATCTCTGAGGATGCCTGCCATAAATGTGGATGAAATGTCAGGAGAGAATGTTTCTGGAACATGGCCATACAGCCTGGAAAACTCAAAACAACCCAGTGATTCCAGCCATGAAAGCCTTCAACAACACATCAAGTCTACTTTCTCAGACAGCAACTCCTATTGAGACACAAGTAGCCACTTTACCAGATAGATTTGGAAATTGTAGTCTAATAGCTAACTTTTTCAAGTTCTGGATTAAATAACAGGATGGAATCAATGAGACCAAAGTTGCCTGAAAAGTGCCTTCAAGCGGTTCCCAAATGTTGCCTTTCCAAAGGATACACGGCACAGCATAAAATCTATGTGAAGCATTGTTATTGTTAGAACCGGAACTAGAAAGCAAATTTGACAGAGCTTCCAGGGTTCACATAAAGCTGCTTTATGGGCCTGATTTGACTCACAGGTTGTCCTTAGGCTCTATCTGATGCCTTTGCTCCACATAACAGCTTTTGGAGCTCAATTAGACCCTGGGAGTATGAAACAGGAACCAGCAAGAGTCGCCCTCCTTTTTCCTCCTCCTCCTCCTCTTCCACCAGATGTTCGCCCACAGCCTTCACCAAACAATTTGCAAGCAGCGAATTCACTCTGATCTCAGCTTTCTCTCCTTGTGTGTCCAAACCTTGGAGCCAATACATTCTGCTACAAAAACTCTGCATGGATGGAATGGATTTTTCCAGCAAGAGCAATCAACTTCCACAAGTCTTCTCTCTCCAACCCCCCCAAATGTTCAGAGAACCCCACCCCACTCTTTTTTTAACCCCTCCGCCCCCTCATCCATCACGCAAAGCAGAAGTGTTCTTCATCTGAGCTACAAAGTCAAGAGGCATCCCCAGCAATTGAATCCCCTTTAGCAGTTCAACAAGTCCACACAAGTCATTCCAGCTGCCGATTTCAGCATACAAGGGAAATGGATTCTTAATTATTTTTCCAAGCTTGTCACGGAGGGCTTTGTTTCTCTCTATTTCTTTGCCATGTCACTGAATGTTAAGAGATGAGTCACACATGGGGATTCCTTTTCCCCCCGATTCCTTACTTTTTATTTCCTGAAGGAGTAGCAAGGGGTCTGAATTCCTCTATTGCCATTCTGCGCAGATTAATTGTCTGGATCCTGAAAACTGAATGACACCCCAGGCTTTCATTCCTAGCCATTCAAGACATTTTCACAATTGTCTACACTCCAAGTTTTAAATCAGTTTAAGCATCAGAACTTCCTCAAAAAGAATTGCCCAATGCTATACTTTCAGAAGGGATTTTGGGACCCATTGCAGAGTGACAGCCCATAAAGTACAGTCTGAATGCTGGATTATTAATATGGAGATGATGGTTCAAATTATTCACTCAGCCATGGATATGCACTGAGTGATCTTGGGCAAATCACACACTCTCAGCTTCAGAGGAGGAGCTCCCAGTGACACAGTGCATTAAACCCTTGTGCTGGCAAGACTGATGATCGACAAGTCAGCGGTTCAAATCCTGGGGAGAGCAGGTTGAGCTCCTTCTGTCAGCTCCAGCTCCCCATGAGGAGACATGAGAGAAGTCTCCCACAGGGATGAGAAAACTTCAAACATCTGGGTGTCCCCTGAGCAATGTCCTTGCAGATGGCCAGTTCTCTAACACCAGAAGTGACTTGCAGTTTCTCAAGTTGCTCCTGACATGGAAAAATCTTCAGAGGAAAGAAATGGCAAACCCTCTCTGGACATATCTTGCTACGAAAATTCCCTATGATAGGTTTGCATTAAGTTGGAAATGCCTTGAAGGCACACAACAACAATAACAGCAAAGGTAAACATTGCCTTCTCACCAATAGGATCACTTCCCTATTTCAGGAGATGTGAAAGTTAAATTTGAAGCCAGTTTCAGTCTACAATGCAGACCTGCGTCTTAATTCACATAGATCAGAAAGTTTGGGAGAGATGACTTGTAAAAGTTTAACTATATTCCAGACCATGTGGGTTTTATGTCCAATTTGTTTAGATGAGCCATTTGTAGAAATGGCTTAATGAACTGTCGTGAAGAAAGGTGTTTTGGATTTATTGTAACAGATGAAGAAATGTGCCTTAATGTTAGTAATTTAACTTAAATAGATACAACATCCTCTCTTATCCACACCCCCTCCCCATAGCCTTTAAAGTTTGGCCTTCATTCTTGGGGAGAGAGGGTTGGATGTTTAATTAAACTGAAACGTTACCATCCCTGAGCCCCAAATTCTCCCAAGGCCCTGGATCCTCGAAACTCCTAGGATTGTATGACAAGTATATGCAATTACATTTTAGAAATTTAGACCCTTTCACACAGCTGAATAAAATCCCACATTTTTCTGATATTGTGGGTTATTCTGCCTTGATATTCTGGGGACCCTTCCACACAGCCTTATATCCCAGAATATCAAGGCAGAAAATCCCACAATAACTGCTTTGAACTGGGTTATCTGAGTCCACACTGCCATATATTCCAGTTCAAAGCAGATAATGTGGGATTTTCTGCCTTGACATTCTGGGATAAAGGGCTGTGTGGAAGGGCCCCTAGAGCGAGGGAAAGTTCTATTTGGATTGTATGCACAATCATTTGTCATTTACTCCCACTACTATTTGCAAATCAATTGTCAATGGAGTTTATTGACATCCCTACCCCAGCTTTAATGAGATCAGAACTGTTTCTAGGATTTTGCAGAACAGGACTGATGGAGACTTCTTTTGGGTGGTTGAATCAAAATCTGACAGAAAGAAAAGATGTGAGAAGGGTGCGGGCAATGTCCGTTTTCTGTTGGGTCTGGCCAACAATCAAAATCCTGAAAGTGTAGAAAACTTGCTTCGAATCAGAAAGTTTACCGCCCCCAAAAGTTTGCTTTTGGGGCCGGGTTTCAAGACAGGAGCTCACCTGTCTTCCTGGACAAGATGTGTTTTCAGCCCCATCTACATTATCATATATGACCCAAATTATCTCCTTTGACCAGGATTATATGGCAATGTAGACTCAGGGCCCTTTTATACTACCATACAATCCAGATTATCAAATCAGACGATTTTTGGCTTTGAAGTGGATTATGGGAGTCTGCATTGCCACATAATCCAGTTCAAAGCAAATCATCTGAATTTTATACGGCAGTGTAGAAGGGACCTCATAGAATCCATTTCAATGCAGATAATGTGGATGATCTGTTTTGATAACCTGGGCCCCTTCCACACATCTGAATAAAATACCACATTATCTGTTTTGAACTGGGATATATGGCAGTGTGGATTCAGGGCCCTTCCACACATCCCTATATCCCAGAATATCAAGGCAGAAAATCCCAAATTATCTGAGTGTGGACTCAAGATAACCCAGTTCAAAGCAGATATTGTGGTATTTTCTGCCTTGATATTCTAGGATATAGGGCTATGTGGAAGGGCCCTTCGATAACCCAGTTCAAAACAGATATTGTGGGATTTTCTGCCTTGATATTATGAGATATAGGGATTTGTGGAAGGGCCCTGAGTCCACACTCAGATAATGTGGAATTTCCTACCTTGAGATTCGGGGATATAGTGCTGTATGGAAGGGCCCTCAGATATTCCAATTCAAAGCAGATATTGTGGGACTTCCTGCCTTGACATTCTGAGATATAGGGCTGTGTTGAAGGGCCCTTCGATAACCCAGTTCAAAACAGATATTGTGGGATTTCCTGCCTTGATATTATGGGATATAGGGCTTTGTGGAAGGGCCCTGAGTTGTCTGAATCCACACTTATTGAATCTTGTCTGAATCCACACTCAGATACTGTGGGATTTTCTGCCTTATTCTGGGATATAGGGCAGTGTGGAAGGGCCCTTCGATAACCAAGTTCAAAACAGATATTGTGAGATTTTCTGCCCTGATATTATGGGATATAGGGCTGTGTCAAAGTGCCCTGAGTCTACACTCAGATATTGTGGAATTTCCTGCCTTGATATTCTGGGTTATAGGGCTGTGTGGAAGGGCCCTCAGATATTCCAGTTCAAAGCAGATATTGTGGGATTTCCTGCCTTGATATTCTGGGATATAGGGCTATATGGAAGGGTCCTCAGATAACCCAGTTCAAAACAGACATTGTGGGATTTTCTGCCTTGATATTCTGGAATATAAGGCTGTGTGGAAGGGTCCTCAGATAACCCAGTTGAAAGCAGATATTGTGGGATTTCCTGCCTTGATATTCTGGGACATAGGGCTATGTGGAAGGGTCCTCAGATAACCCAGTTCAAAGCAGATATTGTGGGGTTTTCTGCTATAGGGCTGTGTCGATAGGCCCTGAGTCTACGCTCAGATATTGTGGAATTTCCTGCCTTGATATTCTGGATTATATGGCTGTGTGGAAGGGCCCCTGGACTATATGGTAGTATAGATCCAGCCTTCAAAAATCCTTTTGGGGCCCTTCCACACAGCCATATAACCCAGAATGTCAAGGCAGACAATCCCATAATATCTGCTTTGAACTGGGTTGTCTGAGTCCACACTGCCATATATTCCAGTTCAAAGAAGATACTGTTGGATTCTATTCAGCTGTGTCGAAGGGGCCTCAGCCAAATAACCCAGAATATCAAAGCAGAGAATCCACAGGAACAGGATTATGTGAGTCCACACTGCCATACAATTCAGTCCAATGTGGATTTTATACAGCTGTGTGGAAGAGGCCTTTGAAGAAAGTTGAGACAAATCCGACAAACTTTGGAGCAGTTCAGAAAAGAAAGGAAAAAAAACCCATAACATTCCCATTCCTTTCCCAATTCCCACCCACGCTGCTTGCTTTTTTGCTCAAGTCAGAAAAAAAAACTCTCAGGACTGTTGGAAAAGCAAAACCTGCCAGTTGCCAAAAACAAAACAAATAAGGTCCATCGTCCCAAACCAATGGGAGATACACACAAATAGATACAGAACTGGGCTTTGAAGAAGAAAGAGCTTACCTTTCAAAGCCTGGATGGGGATTGTTGGAGAGTCATGATGATCCCAAGCACAGCTCTTGGGCTTCTCGAGATGGGCAGCTTCCCACTCCCTTCGGATTGGATTTTCCCTAGGCTAGCAACATCCAGGGTGGGCTATTGAGTGTCGCCCGCAAACAACAACAACAACAAAACCCCATCAGGAAAGAAGAAGAGATGAGGGAGAAGGGGGTGGCTTCTTTCACCAGATCCCCCAAATTTTCCACATTGTGGCTTTGCCTTCTTTTTGTAGAGGAAAGAAAAGGGAGGCAGAAAATCCCACCGACGCTGGTTAATATATATATATATATTGCTCCCCTTCTTCTTCTTCTTCTAGATTCAAATCAAACCAACTTCATCCCAGGAGCAGGCGCGATGATCAATGTGCGAGCCTCCCGTCTGGAGCCCGAGAGAAGGACCACCTTGAAGCAGGAAGTTTTGGTTTGCTTTCCAAACTTTCCCGATGCTTTGCTTGAGCTTTGGCACATGGAGCCAATCAGCCCGCTCCGCCTGGGCGGCCGGCTGGGGAAAGGAGGGCTGGGCGCAGCAGCAGCAGCAGCAGAGATGGGCCAGGAGGGGATGGGATCCCCTCTTTCTCCCCTCTTTCTCCCCCAAATCTCTCCCCCCAACACTCCCCTTTAGGGCTTTCAAGCTGCTCAGGAAGAAGAGGAGGAGGGTGGTGCTTTCTTTTTTTCTCTTTTTTTAAGGGAAAGTTTTCAAGATTTCTTTCTTTTTGTTGTTGTTGAGAAGGTGGGATCTTTAGCAGCAGGAGGAGGGTAAGCTGAGCCCTGTGTGAGGTTGGAGATGAAGGAGCCCCTCTCAGCCTCAGTTCTCACAGCATGCTGCCTCCCAAGCCTCTGAAGCAGCCTGGAAAATCCGGGCTGGAGTTTGGGGGCCCTTCCACACAGCCCTATAACCCAGGATATCGAGGCAGAAAAGCCCACAATATCTGCTTTGAACTGGATTATCTGAGGGCCCTTCCACACAGCCATATAACCCAGGATATCAAGGCAGAAAATCCCACAATATCTGAGTGTGGATTCAGATAACTCAGGCCCCTTCCACACAGCCCTATAACCCAGGATATAAAGGCAGAAAAGCCCACAATATCTGCTTTGAACTGGGTTATTTGAGGACCCTTCACACAGCCATATAACCCAGGATATCAAGGCAGAAAATCCCACATTATCGGAGTCTGGATACAGATAACCCAGGACCCTTCCACACAGCCCTGTATCCCAGGATATCGAGGCAGAAAAGCCCACAATATCTGCTTTGAACTGGGTTATTTGAGGACCCTTCACACAGCCATATAACCCAGGATATCAAGGCAGAAAATCCCACATTATCGGAGTCTGGATACAGATAACCCAGGACCCTTCCACACAGCCCTATATCCCATAATATCAAGGCAGAAAAGCCCACAATATCTGCTTTGAACTGGGTTATGTGAGGACCCTTCACACAGCCATATAACCCAGGATATCAAGGCAGAAAATCTCACATTATCTGATTGTAGATTCAGATAACCCAAGGCCCTTCCACACAGTCCTATATCCCAGGATATCAAGGCAGAAAAGCCCACAATATTTGCTTTGAACTGGGTTATCTGAGGGCCCTTCCACACAGCCCTATATCCCAAAATATTAAGGCAGAAAATCCCACATTCTCTGAGTGTGGATTCACATAACCCTGGGCCCTTCAACACAGCACTATATCCCAGAATATCGAGGCTGGAAATTTCGTATTATCTGAGTGTGGACTCAGGGCCCTTCCACAAATACCTATATCTCATAATATTAAGGCAGAAAATCCCACAATATGTGTTTTCAACTGGGTTATTGAGGGGCCCTTCCACACAGCCCTGTATCCCAAAATATCGAGGCAGAAAATCCCAACAATATCTGCTTTGAACTGGGTTATCTGAGTCCACAGAATGCCTTGGTATTCTGGGATATAGGGCTGTGTGGAAGGGCCCTGGGTTATGTGAATCTACACTCAGAGAATGTGGGATTTTTCTGCCTTGATATTCTGGGATATTGGACTGTGTGGAAAGGCCCTCAGATAACCCAGTTCAAAGCAGATATTGTGGGATTTTCTGCCTTGATATTCTGGGATATTGGGCTGTGTGGAAGGGCCCTGAGTCCACTGCCATATATCCCAGATACTGTTGGAGTCTATTCAGCTGTGTTGAAGGGGTCAGAGAGGCGTCCTTCACCATCATGGCACATAGTAATAGCTAGCTACGGTGGCCACTTCCATGTGGTTGCAGAGGGCAAGTTGTCAGCACAGTGTTTGGGCAATGCAGCATGCATTCAGGGCTTTCATAGAATCATAGAATCATTGAGTTGGAAGAGACCTAGTGGGCCATCCAGTCCAACCCCCTGCCAAGAAGCAGGAAAATCACATTCAAAGCAGCCCCGACAGATGGCTATCCAGCCTCTTCTTAACAGACTCCAAAGAAGGAGCCTCCACCACACTCTGGGGCAGAGAGTTCCACTGCTGAACAGCTCTCACTGTTAGAAAGTTCTTCCTCATGTTCAGGTGGCATCTCCTTTCCTGTAGTTTGAAGGCAGTGCTCTGCATCCTAGTCTCCAGGGCAGTAGAAAACAAGCTGGCTCCCTCCTCCCTATGACTTCCTCTAACATATTTATACATGGCCCTCATCATGTCTCCTCTCAGCCTTCTCTTCTGATGGCTAAACATGACCAGTTCTTTAAGCCGCTCCTCATAGGGCTTGTTCTCCAGACCCTTGATCATTTTAGTCGCCCTCCTCTGGGCACTTTCCAGCTTGTCAACATCTCTCTTCAATTGTAGTGTCCAAAATTGGACACAGTATTCCAGGTGTGGTTTGACCAAGGAAGAATAGAGGGATAGCACTGGAATGAGTAGAGTCACACATGTTGGAAGGTTTTCAACAGGGATCATTATCATCTGATGATGTACTTTGGCCACATAATATTTTGTTTTCCGTGTCAGGAGCGACTTGAGAAACTGCAAGTCGCTTTTGGTATGAGAGAACTGGCCGTCTGCAAGGGACGCCCAGATGTTTTGATGTTTTACCATCCTTGTGGGAGGTTTCTCTCATATGCCCACATGGGAAGCTGCAGCTGACAGAGGAAACTCATCCGTGCTGTCCCTGGATTCGATCCTCCGACCTGTCGGTCTTCAATCCTTCTGACACAAGGGTTTAACCCACTTTGTCACCGGGGGCTCCTGGCCACATAATGAGGAAAGCTTGGCGAATATAATGATGCTGGGGAAAATTGAAGGAAAAAGGAAGAGGGGCCGACCAAGGGCAAGACCTCTCAGTGGCCTTCGATACCGTAGATCACAGTATCTTTCTGGAACACTTCACAGGAATAGGCTTTGGAGGTACTGTTCTGCAGGGGCTCCTGTCCTTCCGAGAGGGTCATTCCCAGAAGGCGTTGTTGGGGGACACCAGCTCGGGGTCCTGCAGGGCTCAATACTGTCTCCCAGGTTGTTTAACATCTATATGAAGCCCTTGGGAGAGATCATCCGGAGTTTTGGAGTTCGATGCCATCTGTACGCAGATGACATTCAACTCTATTACTCCTTTCCACCTGCTAATAAGTAGGCTGTTCAGGTTCTGAACCGGTGCTTGGCAGCTGTGTCGGCCTGGATGGGAGCAAACAAATTGAAATTGAATCCAGACAAGACAGAGGTATTCCTGGTCAGTCACAAAGCCAAACACGCAATAGGGTTACAGTCTGTGTTAGATGGGGTTACACTCCCCCTGAAGATGCAGGTTTGCAGCTTGGGAGTCCTCCTGGACTCATTGCTGAGCCTGGAATCCTAGGTTTCGGCAGTGGCCAGGGAAGCATTCACACAATTAAAACTTGTGCACCAGTTGCGCCTGTATTTTGGCAAGTCAGACTTGGCCATGGTAGACCACGCTCTGTTTACAACCCATGTAGATTAATTCAACATGTTCTACATAGGATTGCCCTTGAAGACTGTTTGGAAGCTTCAAATGGTCCAATGGGGGGCAGCCAGGGTGCTTACCAGAGCAGCATACAGGGAGCATACAACTCCCCTGTTGCGTCAGCTCCACTAACTGTCGGTCTGCTACCAAGCACAATTCAAAGTGCTGGTTTTAGCCTATAAAGCCTTAAATGGTTCCGGCCCAGCTTACCTGTCCTAACAAATCTCCTCATATGAACCATCTCAGAGTTTAAGATCCAGGGAGGCCCTGCTCTCGGTCCCACTTCCTTCGCAGGTGCAACTGGTGGGGACAAGAGACAGGGCCTTCTCAGTGATGGCCCCTCAGCTGTGGAATTCCCTCTCAAGGAATATTAGATCATCCCCCTCCCTCCTAACCTTTGGTAAGAGAGTAAAAACATGGTTCTTTGATCAAGCCTTTGGATAAATCGTGCAATAAACAGATATAGAGTTATGTGCGAGGACAGCTCGGATTACCACTATGGATAGCGTGTTTTAAAAATGGTGATATTGATTTAAATGTTTTAAAAGTTTTAATGTATTTTATACTTCTACTATCCTTTCCCTGCCATGCATTGCTGTGGCCCAGTCTACTGATCTTGAAAGTAAAGTAATGAGAAAGTGTTGGTTTCTAATATATGTAATTTCTTTATGCTTGTGAGTACACAGTATTTTTTGTTGTTTCTTTGTCAGTGTTGATGTAGAGATTGTCTGGTTTGGCTACTCTGGAACATGCAACATATAATTGTCCTTTGAGGGTCCCTTTCAAATCTATGATACTATATCTGTCATATACATATTTGTGTGTGTGTGTGGATCGTATCTATCTCTCTCTCTCTCTCTCTCTCTCTCTCTCTCTCTCTCTCTCTATCTATCTATCTATCTATCTATCTCTATGGCTGGATGGCTCTTTGTCAGGAGGGCTTTGATTATGTTTTTTTTTTTTTGCCCTGTTGAAGGGAGTTGGACTGGATGGCCTTAAGGTTTCATTTATCTACCTGGGGGTCATGGAGGGGGGGTGTCAGAAGGGTCTCCCCCTCCCTTTCTCCTGGTCCGTCATTTCTATGCACCAGGAGAACCCTGACAGCCATCCCAGGGAAGCCGGGTGAGTTCTTTTCTTTCTTTTTTACTCACTTTAGGGGGGCTTCTGGGGAGGGGGGGTAGTCTTCTGATGTTGTACTGAGAAGTCCCAGTACAACATCTGGACACCCACTTTCTGAGGTGGGTGTAGACAGCCTCCCAGGGACATCCTTGTTTTTTAAACGCGGATGCTACTGGGATAAAAGGCTGTCTGGATCCGCCCCTAGAGATATCTGTTTGGTAAAATCCTGGATTAAGATTTGGTAAAATCCTGAATTCACTGTGG